CGCGGTGTCTTTGTCTCTAACCGTTGAGAATGAAAACATTTTACCATCGTCGTACCCGACAAATTATGGTGATGTAGAACCGTTTCGTCAAAATAAATACAGGGTTCATGTTTTATGCGCGAGATCACCGCTAATAGACGGCGTGATGGTAGAAATTAAAATGAATAGAAACGGATTTTCCGTAAAGCTCATATGAGAATCTGTCTTTCTAGAGAAAGATGAGGGCGGTACCTTTTCAAACAGAGCCTTATTATTGCCTAGGTAGTCAAAATACTTGAAACACTCATTCCTTCCAGGATTCTTTCTAAGAATGTAGAAATCTAATCTCAAATGATCGCTTAGTGAATGTTCCGATGAAGGAAAAAAGCTAGTGATTAATCTGTCTAACCTCCTGATGTTCCTTCAAACTGGTCACTACCAGTTTAAATGAACATATGGAGAAATAATGCTGTCTTTTGCACCGTACATCTATCTGTACATCCGGGAATCCGGAGGCCATATGGAGGCTTTCAGGTGTAGTTCCGATATAAAAGCTGAGACAGAGGTCTAAAATGTACAAAATCAGACAAACAAAGCCCTGACTCAACCAGGAATTCATTGTTGTCCTTATAGATTTCCATTATTATAGCAGATGCATAAGGGGCCATCAAGCCGTTTGCAACATTCATAGTATACATCAATGCAAGTACGCTAGTATTGTGCTAGAAATGTTATTGTTAGAATTATTGGTAGATCCTAGTTGTAAATAAACCTACTGAGGAGTACAACATCATCTTACTGGGATTCTTCATGGTTCCATTCGCAACTTTCAAAGTATTTTTGATCCACTTGTTGGGAGGTGGCCTCCCGTCAGCTAATCAGTGAGATTTCCCCGAACTTCAATCAAAATTCAATAAAAATTCTGAAGTTTGAATGAAATAAAGAAGCTATAGCAGATGCAAGCTTGTGATCCGCTTTCTGAACCTGGCGAAAAGTATTAAGCTGCTGCATAATTTCCTTCCGATTTTTTTCCCTTATGTTTGAAGCAGCTGTTCTGAGAGAGTTTCATCTCTAAGGCACGCGCCATACTTTATCTGCTTGATCCGCTTCATCCACTTCGCCATTGGTCATTCGGTTGATGTGACCAATAGCGATGTGGATGAAGCGGATCAAGCGGATCAAGCGGATCAAGTATGGCGCGTGCCTAATGTGGTACTGTTAGTAACCGTAGAAAGTGCTTTTCTTGCTTTTTCTGATGCATATCAACTTCAATAAATCTCTTGATGTAAGGAGAATTCAAACCTAAAATCTTCGAGTGGCCGAGGTACGTTTTCACCCTAGAAATATGTTCTTGCGAGGAAATCTCCATAATGCGCCCTTCAAGTCAAGTCAAATTTTTTCATTGCTTGCGGAGTAAGGGTGTAGAAGGCTAGTATATGCTGAAGCTCAGTTCCAAAGAAAATGTCTTGTTACTAAAATCAGATTTTTGTAAAGATGTTTTACAAGCAATAACCTTCTGCGAATAAAATTAATCGATGAGTTCAAAGTAGGAGGTGCTAGGGTAAAGCAAGAGGTAGCAGGGCCCATTCACCAACTTTTTTTCAGCGCTCACGTCAATTGTAAATTTTTCATAATTCGTAAGTAGGCATACACACCTGCTTTGCAGCGAGGTCAACCGGCTTCTTTTTTGATTGGTCAAAAAATCTCTCGGCAACGCAGACCCTATGGGCTCTTTTATGTTGCAAAAATCTACGAAAATGTCTCTATCTAATCATTATTAGATAAGATACCTACCAATTCTCGTAAGGGAGCACTGCCATGTCAAAAAAGACAGGTTTGAAGAAAAACGCCCCGAAGTTTTTAAGTTCTTGCTTCTTCTTTAATAAGGATTCTCGCAGATCTCATCTATTTCTCATAGCCAATGATCTGCATAACACATAGAAGCTAAGATCTTAGAAAAAAGTCTACTTTGAAAGAAGCTATGACATTTTGAACTCAAAAAATTCAAATTGGACAGAAATTATGCAGCAGCCTAACAAACTAGACGATTTTACCGAAAAAGAGAACGGTTCGTTCAACACGTTTCAGACCGCGAAATAGCGCGCGGCGAAAAACATTGTGCTTTCAGCCGTTAGGCAACAAAGGGAACTTACTTCGTGAACTGTGGGCTACATCTGTAATCAGAATGTCAAATAAGCTCCATACCCAAAGTTCTGAGTGAATTCGAAGTGTTTGAATTTTGTCGTTTGAGAGGGACTTCCATGTTTTCTTGAAAGATAGGAACAAAAACTCAGTTTCTAATGGTGTTCAAAAGTATCTATGTTGTGCATGGTGCACATCATTATTGAAACTATGGTTTCTTCCTTCAAAATCGAAGCAAAGAAAAGCTGCGACGTCGCACGCGTCGTCCGCGTTGCCGCACTTTGTTTCAACTGTTGTTCGATTTATCCTCATATCTCCTAAACAAATCGGCGGCACTGCTCTACAGAGTCATTTGAAACCTAGGAGCTTAGACCTCTGACTTGATAACCTTGGACTAAAAGAAAACCTCCTATAAACGTCAAAAAGATCCTTCAAAGCAGCGAGCTGCACCATGTGCAGCACCGGTCCGAAATGTGTTAAATTAGTGGGACCCTCTCGCTCCTGAAAGACTTGATGTGACAATGGACATTTCGATGAAGCATGTTTGTAATTTTTCACCGTGTAACCGGCGAGAAGTAGATCTAAATTAGACTACTTCTACCAAAAAAAAGCAGAACTTTGTTCAGATTAATAGCAGGCATTTGGAAACGGGTTAACATCAGTTTCACAAAAACGGATTCGCAGCCAGCAACAGTGGAATGTAGAGTCTTAAGAATTTAGACACAAATGTTATAGAAACTGGCATCGAGCTCCAGTTTTGTTACTTCTTCAGTGGGATTATCTGGGGCTTTTGATTTTCTGAGGTTTTATGTAAAGATGCAAAAGGAGGTCATTACCTTTCTTTGTCACAGGAGTCAAATTTCGTCAACAAACGTATACGTTGCAATTCACTTATTACATCCAATGTACTTCAATTGCCATATTTAAGCCACATTTGAAACACCCATAGTGGTTGCTTGTCAGTCACATTGTTATTAAGCTGGAATCTCCCATTGATTCGCTGATGACATCTCAATCCTTACGAAAATGTTGCTTCTTACCTCTCTAATTATATCGATAACCTTTATGACATTTGAGAGAAACTCGCGATGCCAGTTTTTTCTTCAAGTACTCTAAACATATCCAACATATTCAAGCGATATTCTCGGTTCCAATTTCAAGTCACGCATTCGTACTTCGTTGTTGGCTACAGGGCTAGCTGGCAGAAGAGAAGATCGCTACTGCGACAGTGGCTTTACAGTGGAAGACCCCGCCCACCTGCTAATTCCCCTCTTGCGTAAAAGCCCTTTCCCGCAGCTCGTTGCGGATTCTTTTTTTTAGCATAGCGAATAGGCCCAGGTAAGCAAGAATTCCCAGAATGGACTTTTTGCCCGGACACTGTCTTTGAGCACGGGTAACACATAAGCACCCTGAATGCGTTTTTGTGCAAAAGCGGAAATTTCGAATTCAAGCGTATACGTTACACAGGCCCTCAAACATTCTCATGATTAGCGGTTCACAGAAGCCCAAAATGTTGTCATCACCGGAGTTCTACTTTGTACTGACACCATACAGCTCGTCTTTGAAACTCGTGCTCCAGGTGAATGATTAATTCGTCGTAAATGCACTGGATATACTAAGATGGGAAAATATTTGAAATATTCATATTTGCTTCTTGTCAACCTTCTTCGCATTTTGATCTCTAGCTTAAGCCATGATGCTCCAAGCGTTCCGAGTTTAGTTTCTTTTTTTTTGTTTTTTTGCAACGCCCTGATTAACACAAAAAGTGTTTTCTCTTCAAAACACCTCCGTCCACTCATTTCATTACAACTATAACCCACTTATTGAGAAAAGATCTTCTTAAACTTACCAGCCAAGTTTAAGTTCCATATATCATGTGCCACTATTGATAGGCGAAGGGTACATATATAATTTCGTAATAAATTCTTTATAGCATTGTTCGTTCCACCAAGTATTCATTCTCCTGCATTCACAGCATGATTCACAGTTGTTTCGAGGAAAAGTTGCCTATAGGGTTCTATATCTGAGTGTCACTGTCGGCTTGGCTTGAGTCCGCGCAAGCCGCCTTTGCCCTCAAGCAGATACAGTAGTTATCCACCTTTCCTACCCGTATCCTTGAGCATCAATGGACGAGCTTGGGGAAATGGAGGGGGGATTTTTCTTGCCAACCGGACATTAAATAGAATATAATTTGTGTCTTACGATGCTCTAGACGCATTTGAAGCTTCTAAGAAGATATGTATATAGCGCATGGGTTGCTCAGTCTTATCACCGCAAAGTAAATTCAAAACATGCATGCTGAAGGTCAAAAACAATTTAAAGTGCAACTAATATCAAAATCGTAAACAATACACTCTTTTTATCAATTTTCGTCTCGGCAAGTGGCCACTCTAAGCCAAAGCACGTAATTCGTTATTCTGAAGGCTCGCATAGCACTAAACTGGGCTTTTGTTTTGAATGATCTACATAAAAGCCTTGCGTGTTCACCGTCTCCAGAAATGCCCCGAAACACGTTTTCGAACGCATCGAGTGGACAAGGAAAAGCGGCTCGCCAGGACCAGAGCCACAATGACATTCATTTTGAAAGCCCCTTCGAGTAGTTACAAAGATACAGAAAAGATGCAGTAGCTTTACTATTGATCCTTATCTGCTCTCAGCACTTCTAAATGTACGCCTGCGGAATCCAAAAGCTTATGATGATACATCGTATACTTCGGAAGGATCACCATCTATCAGGTCTTGCACTTTTGAAGTGGATCTGCACTTATGGCCATTATTTCTATTTGCATTTTCGTAAAACAAAGGTATTTATTATACGCGATACATAACTGGCGAAGAAGGTAAGAATTTGGAAGAGATTACCTTCTCAAGAGACTTCAATGGCCTAATATTAGACAATCTTTGGCAACTAAATTCGTTCAGCAATACAAGACTGTGTGTATGGAGTGCTTCTGCAAGCGAATCCACTTGCAAAACTATTTAGCTGCTTATCTACTAACTGGAGGAGCTGTAATAAATAAACTCAGTTTGCCTTACTTACAACAATTATTTGGGGGAAAGAAGTAGCAATGCATGACTTTTCCAGGCTCTAACAAAGGCAAATCCCGAATCGCCAGAACGCAATAGAGCATTCGTTAATTCGTTAACAATTGATTTAAGTATCAAGAAAACCGTTCCAGTTTTGAATGAACACCTAGATTCAACAATCGAGTTGCATTATCATCTGGAGGAGTGCTATCGAGATTTGACAGGTTGCATACTTCACATTCTGCTTTGATACATGCAGAAAACGTTCAAATAATTTATACATGACGCGTATGACCTATCATGATGCCTATGAAAAATTAATCAGAAAAAGCATTGATATTATACAACAAGAAATGTAAACCAAAATGACTAGAAAGAAAAGTATAGACTTATGACGAGAGCGAGGATGATAATGGCAAGTACAAAAAGATATGTGTGGAGATGAACGAAAGTGTACCCAACCTGGTTATAATAAATTTAGTTGCATTGCTACTACCAAAATAATAAAGGCCAGAGAAAACGGAGCCGACGTCGACTTATTGCAGTCAATTATTGGCGTACCACAGACCTGAAAATTGAGAAATTTGAAAAAATATGCCTTTGTCAACCTCAATCAAATTAGAAAATCGCCAAATTTATTTGCTGAACTGATGTCAAAGTGAATGGAAGTGTGTTCCTGGAAAAATGACATGCACTGTCATTATGCATCCTTCTCAGAAAAGGGTTTCAAAATCGCTTGTAGAACTCCTTCTAGAGAGGGTGTTTTCAGTTTGGAAAAACATATTTGAGCTAACTCAAGAGGCTTCTTATAGACGCAATACCGTAGTCTTTTACTGATTTGCGAGGGTAGGATTGCGAGTTACAAATGTACTTCTTATCGTAGCTGACAGATTACGGTAATCAGTGTACACTTAAAGAAGACTGATCGCGATGAATGTGGGGTTCCATCCGATTCGGAAGATTTCAAGTGTGAGATCGGTGTGGTGGTAGAAGACGCTTTTACGTAGTAGACTCAAATCGTTTTTTTTTCACAAAATGGAAGCATTATTGTGTATTTTTTTAGCAAGTTTTAAAATTTGAGGCCAAACTATTACATCTTATCGATTGAATATTCCGATGAAAGGGAGACTATTGATCAGCGTTCGTCTAACCTCTTGATGTTCGCTAAGACTGGTCACCATCATGTTTGAGTATTGCTCAGCCATCTTCTGAACCGTACATCGGTCCGAACATCCAGGAATTTGGAGACGATATGGAGGCTTTGAAGTATCGTTTCGATAAAAAAGCTGAAACGGAGGCTGCCTGCAAAACAGTAAGTCAGGTGATGTAAGCCAGACCTCAACCAAGAAGTCATTCTTGTCCTTGTAAACTTCCATAATTACAGCTGACGCGTAAGGAATCAGCAAGCCATTTGCAACGCTCATAGCATGCATCAATGCTAGTACTGTGCCATCGTGCTGGAAAATGGCATTTGAGTATTTTTGACAGATCGCGGTCGTAGACTTACTGCAGAATACAACATCATTCTGTCAGGATTTTTCATAGTTCCGTTCGCAACCTTCAAAGCGTCTTTGATCCAGGTGTTTAGCAAGTAGCCTCCTGTCATCTGAGAGTAAAATCTTTCCGTGTTCATGAAACATTCAGTAATTCAAGGTCTTGATGGACATTAAAGAATATTTTAAGGCATGCTAAATCAAGGTTAATCTTTCATCCTGTAACCGACAAGATGTAAACTGAACGAGGCGGGGATAGGGACGTTGCGTACTTCTCAGATAATCGCCGGGGCAGACGACCACGCGTATTGTGGGCAAGCAGGCACCGGAAAATAATTTGCTGATTTCTTGCGGGCAGCTTGCAGATATTTGAAAGAATGTTAGCCAAATTCTGACGAATGGTCGAAGAACGTTGCGGCTCTTCCATGGATTAGTTGCGGCGCAGTGGCCGCATTCTCACGGACTTTCCACGGAATACGCAATATTATTGGGGGGTGCATGGTCCTTTCTGAAAACCGCACAGCCCGTAAGTACCTTCCGTTAAGAGAAGTACTCCAAAATCGGGTAATTGAACCATCGAAAACCCTCTGCCATGTAGAGAGTTACCGTTGCTCGGCGTATGCCCGAAACTGCGTAAAAAGATCCGAGCGCCTGCTTAAAGTTTGGCCCGCGCTTGCTGAAAGAGATTATTTGACGAGCGCTTGCAGGAGATTTTGTATTGCTGTCCGCTGGCAGTACACGGGAGTACCGCTTGCTAAAGTTCTGGCCACGCCCCAAATATTTGCTATCCGCTTGCAGAAAAGTGCAAGTTTGCGCACCGCCTGCTTCCTGCGATTATTAGATTGTTAGCTGCAATTAGAACAATTTTGGCGTCTCCCAATAAATTCAGCACTGCTTTTCAGGAAAAATCCAGAAACTTTTTCTGAAAAGCCACCGCCCTTTCATTCAAGTGCATCGTTCCCCCCCCCCTCCACCCAGGAGAAAAGTCACTTGCAATGCCGTTAAAGATAACATAATTTTAATGAAAAACGATTTGTAGATTTAGAACAATTGGATTGAAGAGTCTTCAAAACTCAGTGAAAAACTCAAAAAAGAATGATTTCATTGTTGTTTTTTTGGGCTTGAACAGAGGTCATCTTTACCTTTGCCTTGTCGGGGGAGTCGAATTTTGAAATCTTGCGTATACGTCGCAATTCACTTATTACATCCAATGTACTGCGATTGCCATATTTAGGCCACCTTTGGAACGCCCATGCAGGTTGTTTGTCCGTCAAATTGTTATACAGCTGAAACATTTTCTCGAAACTAAATTTACATAGAAAACTCACTCTCTACCTCTTTCGTTATATCATAAACCTTATTGACGTTTGCGTAAGAAAAATTCGCGATGCCAGTTTTTTCTTCAAGCATTTTGAACATATCCGCATACTGTGTGTTATAAACAGCAGCATGTTTTGCATCATCGGCGTCCACGATACTGTCATAATTTTTGCAATCAACATAGGTAGGTTTGAGTAGCTGTAAAAAACTTTCAGACTACAAAGCATAAACTCCAGGTCGAGTTTAAAAATTTCTTTGGAGCTGTCTACTTGCCAAATCTTTTTCGACAGGCGCCGGAGCATGTATAGGAACTGGTTGCCAAGGATTGCCATGTTGCCACTGGAAACTACCATTTTGCGCGGGGTAAAAACCGGAGGTGAAAGCTTGCGCTGAGGTAAGGGCTCGATCTGAGTCCGACGATCGGATATAGACCTAGATACAATATTTCATTTATTTCTATACTGTCAGTCGGTTGGTCAGCTCACCTGACTTGCCACATAATGGGGTGCGATGAAGGATCCATATTTTGATCGAAAATACCTTCCAAGTTCATTCATCTGAGCGATGCCTATCTGAATTTCTCAAGTTTTTGATATCTCATAGTTTTCTAAGAAAGCAGATACAAAACTAACATACATTAGTTAGCTGTTGCCAGCCTCGTGGCCATGCACTCTCGTTGTAGGGATCATTTGGATAAGGATGTTTTTTAGGGGCCCGATCGCCATGCCTCCAAATAGCTTGCACAAATGCTAGTTCTTTCGCTGCTACTAGTGAGAGCAGGCAGATGAAGCAAGCTATGAGTCGGAGATATTGAATTGACTTCGGTTCCATCCCAGACTGTAATTCGAGTTTTTTATGCGTAACAGGTTAGACAGCTGTCGGAAATTAATCAAATCCAAGTGTTGAAATGTTCGCCAATTAATAATCAATCGTTGTTTAGGATCAAATCAAGATCTTGAAATTTTAGTTTAATTTCGGTAGTTTCGGTAAAAGTCGAGAGGAGTTTTTAAAAAAGAAAACAAGGAGTTGATGTTCAAAGCTTGCAGCCACAAAACCCCGCTTGATGCTTCAGTAATAGATGTCAGTTTAATCCTGTTTTCTTAGATCTGTTATCGAATCAAAGTATGAAGAACTTGATTCTTCGACATCAAAAAAATGACTGCATACCAGAGTTTCTCAGCAAAAGTAAAACGCTATTGTTTTTGCTTTCACATTCATTCGCGAGATGTCTTGCGTTTCATTGAAACCAATAGATTATAACTGACAAGGGAACCGTGTCGAGTCGAAGTGGCCTTTCCAAATGAGACCCCTACTGCTTTAAGGAGTATTGAGCGGTGGTTCCAAATCTGCTTTTCAAATCTGCCAAACGCCTCTGGACGCCGAGTTATGACCGTTCCTCGAAACGAAAAATGAATGCAGAATTTAGGTAAAATTGACTGTTACAATCTTCCAGCGCGCAGATAAAGCAATGTTAAGTATTAGCAAATTAAATAAAATGTATCCATTGCATAAACAGCTCTGATACTTGACACTGGACCATTTGAGCAAATTTGGGCGATTTTGCTTCAGTTTTGCGTTCAATTTTTTGATTTGAAAAACGAGCATAGCTCGGCGTCCAGAGGCGCTTGGCAGATTTGAAAAGCAGATTTGGAATCACCGATTAATGCTCTTCGAAGCAGTATGGGCCTCATCTGGAAAGGCCACTTCGACTCGACACGGTTTCCTTGTGAGTATTTTGTCTATCCAGTACTCAAACTGTTTCGTAGTAGAATGTTTCTAACAAATGAATAGCAACGCAAAATTGATTGAGATAAGATCTTAACAGGAATTGTTGAACAGGATAGGTAATGGAAGATACATTGAAACTGTTCGCAATCCGTAACATGAAGATGTGGTTATGCTGTTTCAGGTGGCTCTTTTCTGTTTGCTTTTTTCTTTTCTGGAGTGCTCTCCGCCAAAATCGTCCAAAATTACACAAGAGCACTTTCCTTCGTGCAGACGTGCTGATTAGGCTTGAGCTGAACAGCAGCAGGAAGCAAGAATACTAGAAATAAATAAATGAATGAAATAGGCTTTGGCTAAAGCGAATTCCCCATGCTTTGTACTACTTTCGATATAACTACGTTCAAAGAAACTCTCAGGTTTCAGGGCACAGAACTATGAAACTTAGTTTCGATTACACTGATAAAATTGGGTTTTGACAATAGAAAAACAGGCAGTGAGCTAGTGACAGCAAGTGAGTCACTCTGTTGCTCGCCTCAAAAATAATAAGCATGTGCTACTGTAAAATTTTGATAATATTAGGTTGTCTCATATGTCTTTTCATATCGGCGACCGGCCTACCTCGATTTTTTTTGAATTATAGCTCAAACGACTATTAGATAAAGCGAGGCAAGCTCTACAAGATGACCTTAGAAAGATCGCAAAAAATTTGGTACACGTGAAGGTTTCCGCCAAGATTTCAAAAGTTTTCACTTGCCCGAAAAGTCGAATTTCAGCCCAGACAAATTCTACGGACGCCTAGCTTGCTCAGGTATATATATATAATCTTTATAGTTAATTTTACGTTTGCATTTGCTGGATTTTTCCATGACTAAAAATTGAAAAAGTAGGCCAAAATCACGAGAAACTCAGAAAATGCTCCCTATTTGGTTGTTTTTGGCTTGTTAAGCTGTAAACAGGAATTCGTATTTCTTTATTGGACTAAGGTTTCGGCTATATCGCCTTCTTCAGTCTGAAATTGTCGAATGCATAAGTAACCTACCCTATCAGAAACGGCCTCAAGACTCAGCAAGACGCCCAATGCGTTATTAAAACAGGAACAAAAATGTACGCAAGATTAAACCAATGCTTACCTAGACATTTAATATGCCCTCGGGGCAAAGAAGGTTTGCATGGTTGCGGAAGTAGTGTACCTTATCATTTGCCAGGCATGCGGAGGCAAGTATATCAGTGAGACGGGCGCCCTTTTTGCGCAGCGTCAAAGGACACCTAGATGGGCTCCGAAAATCGTACCCCTGCAACTACATTGGGCAAGTATCGCAGACTGTTCCATGACGGCGCAGACATACGTGTGGAGGTCGTGATCTGGGCGCACAAATCCGAAATCCTAGCAAGCAAGAATTTGGAGGCGTTTTGGATTGCCGCCAAATCTCCAGACTTAAATCGAAAAGATGAGTGCATAAATACCACTATTGAGTTCGCGCCCTATCAGGGCTTTGCGGCTTCTGAGGTCAAAGACACCAGGTCACTAAATATATAATGAAGATAGAGCTCACGGAAAGCACTTTTGATGACCGTGGGCTTTTGATATGTGATGCAAATCTCTGAAGCAGCTTTGAACGCTGATTTTAAATCTCCCTTCCGTTTCTGCGGTGCGCCCTTCTGAAGAAAGTTATGGAAGCCTGAAAATCCTATCTTCAGGGCGCTCTTTGAGTTTGAGAGCGGTGCTATGTGCGCCAGTGGAACAGTGGTGTAATGGTTAGTTGTTGGCATTGAAGGCGAAAGGTCGGTAGTTCGAATGCGGTACAGAGCGAACCATTTTGCACTTTGATTGTGAGTGTAAAACCACTCTAATTCGTCTGCAGTCACTTACTGTAGTACCCTTAGCAACTGTGACCTAAGAAGAAAATTTTGTGGCAAACCGCTTGCTTGTTGAGATTTGGTTTTCTCCGCAAAAAAATACGTACAGAGGTGAAGCGAAATTACAAAGTGGGCAAAATACAGATATTTTTCACAACGGTAACAGCGTATGAAAACTCCGCGCAATTTTCATGCTCGCAAGTACCAATTAAATTAAAGGCAGGAAAGAACATCTTCTCGAAAAATGATAGTGGGCTAGTGCGCATTCCTTGAGCTCTATATGGTGGCGAACATGCTTCACCATGTTCATTCCTGTTTTACTGGTAATGAAGTCAGGTAGATTTCAGGGCCTCATTACAAGCAATGCCAGAATATTTTTCCCTTAGGTCACATTTGTCAAGGATATTACGGTAAGTGACTACAGACGAATTAGAGTGGTTTTTAAACTCATTCAAAGGAAAATGATTCGCTCCGCACCGGATTCGAACCACTGACCTTTTCCCTTTAATGCCAACTGCTAACCACTACACCACTGCACCACGACGAACGTAGCACCGCTCTCAAACTCAAAGAGCGCCCCCAAGATAGGATTTTCAAGCTTTCATAACTCTCTTCAGAAGGGCGCTCCGCAGAAACGGAAAACAGATTTAAAATCAGCGTTCAAAGCTGTTTCAGACGATTTGCATCACATATCAAAAGGCCACGGCCATTGATAGTACCTCCCTCGTCAGTTAGGTTATAGTGGTCTGCAACACCACTTTGTCGGCATCTATCTAGGTAAACACTGTTTAAGCTTGCATGCACTTTTGAATTCCTATTTTACTATCGCATAGGGGTCTTTCTGAGTCTTAAGGAGATTTTTGATAGGATACTTATGCATTCGACAATCAGACTCTAAGAAGGCGATGTAGCCGGAACGCAGTCGAATAAAGAAATAAATTTGACTGGATGAAATTGCCCGGGCTAAACGCGCGCGCGCGTATCTCTTGCGGGCTAACATTGACATTTGCGCGCATGTATCAGCATGGCGCCCGCACTCGGCAGCCGCGTTGCAGGCACGGTCGCGTACGTTCAGCCTACATCCACCCGGGCATTTTCGTGCATTCGACTTTACCGATCCCGGTCTACAGCTCAACAAGACGCAAACAAGCAACTCCATTATGCCGTGATAGTGTCAGTCAAATCTGGACAATGCTCTCTTTTCGCGGTTTTTTATGCTAAATTCGTTTATAACAGTACACACAGAGATCTACTGTAGATCCGCCTGTGTAGAAATAGCCCAGCATAGATTTTACGAAAACATGCAGAATTTAGAATGGTAAAAATTTGGAAGAAGATTCAATTTTTCAATTTTTTGGGGCAGTTCGAACTTTCTACATTTCGGATTCGAACTTTGTTTAGATCGTAGTTGACGTGAGTGTTTGAACGTCATGTTGTAGAGATTGCTTTGCTTTATCGAAAGGTACTCGATTACCATGAGAGATTTACAAATTTACAGGCTTATGGCAGTAAAGAAATCAAATATGAAAAGACTTATGGGGCAACCTTATATTTAGGAGAGCAGTTTTAGGTGGATCGAAAATAAAAAAAATAAAATGAAATAAACCTAATATGACATAACTTAACCAGATATGTCTGCCTACAAGTAAGTCCGCACATAGCTCAAATTTTCAACCATAAATTATGTGATCTGCATAAATGCAAAGATGTGCTTTTTTATATTAGACATACTCCTTTAAATGGACTTAAAAAGGTGCACAAAGCATACACGAAAAGTGAAGATGCGTCAATGTTTGCAGAATGCTCAGTCAGAAAACAATTTCAAAAATTCGTACAAAATGAATTAATTGGCTAACAATTTGCAAATCATTAAAAAAAGCCCTCTGTTGGAATCTGTGCTATTATGTGAACTCCATTATCGCTTTTGCGCGTCTGAGGACAAAAAACGTATTATTTCTGCTGTGTGCCTTTCTGATTATTTTCTAAATAAACAGAGCCCAATTTATTTGGTTAAAAAGGAAAAAAACGTCGCTTTTTCTGATTTTTCCCGCTAAAGTTGATATTTCTCAAGAGTTCTCTATATAGTCAATAGTTCTTCTCTATAGTCACAGTTCAGTAGGTTTGCACAGCGGAATATATGGGAGGAGTTCAGGACCACTGGGAGCGGAATTGCCTTTCTCCTTTTTCAATTTTTTTGTTTTCCAAAAATTGAAAAAATACAGCAAGCGTACCTATGAATAATTGCATGTGTCTGGTAAATGCAAGAGCAAGTGAGAAATTCGTAGGATTCTTGGAGCAGAAATTCTTGGCATCATGAGTTGCTCTTATTTCCTGATTCCAAACTTTGAATATCATAATTTCTGTCAGTGTTTAAAGGCACTGTCCACCGAATTCTCGACTTCCATGTTTTTGTCGGTTCCACGCCTTCTGAAGGCCCTGACTTCGAATATGGACTCGAAAATCAGCAAAACATTCAAAAATCCCTGTTTCGAGAACCCCTGCAGCAAGCGCGGGCAAGATAAACATGCAAGTTAGCGGTCGACCATGGTCGCCCCGCCTACTTCGCTTCTTCCGGAGCAGATTTCTCGCTCCAGAAGCAGTCTTTTGCGGCGCAGCTTGGAGGTTTGCCTAGTGTAGGGTACCGCTCTCGTATGCCACCATACTATCTCCAAACTCCATTTTGGGTGGACGTACCTCTAAAGGCCATCTTGTGGAGCTTCACCAACTTACGCGTACGTCTACACCAAACCGTGCTATGAAAGACTGGTTCCGCATTGACGAGGTAAGCCTGGTGCGCTCGCGCCTAACACATGTCGGCGGCACCGAGGCTTTCCGATTTCCTGGCTCCTAGGGTTGGACATCGTGCTGCATTGTGCTCATCCTTTGTGCTTGATGATTAAAAGTTTGTACAGATAAATGGTGCGCATTTGATACGTGTGATGCAGTAGGCCCAGCTCGGCTCCGAGCAGTGGCCTACCGCACCATCCGAGGATATTTCGTGACATCATGTGTGTGTTTATCTTATAATCATGTCCAGAGTGACTGATCGATGTGAGAGTTAGCACGATTCTAGATAGTGCTTGGAGTATAAGTATATAATTTTCTCCCGAAGCTTATGAAGCAGATTTCAAGCTCAATTACTATGTCGCGCGTTGCCAGTAAAATGTCTGGATAAGAGGTGGAAACATATACTTTGTCTATCTTCCTGATTTCTATATCCATTTTTATCGTATATTCTGCTACCCTATTTTCAGGTGTATAAGCCGCACCCTTTCCACTTTGAAGGCGAACACGTCAAAAGACTGACTGTCATCATGGAACGCGTTAAGTGAGAGCAGTATTCGACAAGGTGACCGCTTCGCGAGGGATATGCGCGGCGGCACGCCTGAGCCTGCTCGCGTTTAGAGCAAAAAGGGTGCGGCTTATACACCTGAAAATAGGGTAATACTTTTTGTGCCAAAAACATCTTATGAACCGCAACTAGCACCTGCTATAAGCGGTGACACTTACAACTCAGCCACAAAAGCTTTATGAGCGATTGTGGACGAAAGAGTTTAAAATCCGCATGAACTCCCCAAGAAACTATAACGGGTGGGGCGAAAATTTCTTTTCTTTTTGATAGAAACATCAAAGTTTCGAAGAAGATGAAACGCCTAGCCATCAAGATATGAGAACGTACGAATTTCTTGATTTTTCAAGTAGTTCAGACCTTGCTAGGGCTGAATGTATTTTCACGAAGGTAAGAAACGACTTCAGGAAAGGAAAAAGCGTTCGCAGTTGAAGGCAGTGGCTCAGCAGAACCCATACATCTCGAAATAAATGATATGAGAGATTGCTTGCATCCCAAACATCAGAAAAGAGCAGGTTCGAGCGCACTAAATGCTGCCCCTGCCTAGAAAACTGTCCCTAAACTCGTGCGCGCAAGCCATTCTTACACGCGTCAGACGAGCTTGCGGCCCCCCTCCCACCGTCAGAGGCGACATGCCGCAATGCTATAAACATGAGGATCCCGCAACAACTCTAACCATGGCGGGGAGAGGTCCACTCGTCCAAATTCAAATCGAGAAGCCTTGAAAATTTTTGGTTTTCGACATTTTCGTGCTCTTTAAAGTGTACTTTCGAAATCAGAGCGCCGAATTACCCCAAGCGAAAAAACTTTAGGTCGAGAATTTGCCGAGCCACTGCCTTTAAAGCATTTGTTATATATTGTTTTGATGTCAACTAGATGGATCCTCAAAAAATTTAAACTAAAGGTTATCAAGAATCAAGGAGAGGAAATGCATTCAAAGCGACGTTATGTCACCTTATTGCGAGTTTTAACGTATTTTGGTTGATCGATTTACTAATAAGATTATACTTGTCAGCTATAGCGCAAATACTCATTGGTATACTGCGATAACAGTGACTCATGCTAGTTCTTGATTATCAATTTACAGAACCAACATCAATTGTGCATTTTGGTAACTAACGAAGGCCTCTTTGAGAATGTCAAAAAACGTAAAAACGCGGTTTTTATTCATGCAAAGAATCTGGGCTATATGTAAATAGTTATGGGAAGAACTAGAGCTTAGTCTTTATGCGCTCTGACAATAAGAAAAGCTTAGTGAAAGAAAGATGAAGCTCTTGAACTGCAGCAGTCTTTAGCCCAAAGGGAAGCAAAATGAAGAAGAACGATGGCTTAGATAGTCTATCCAGAACAGTTCAGGGAGAAATTTCAACCCAAGAAAATCGCACATGTAAAAAAGTGACAATTAAATTAGTGCGCAGATTTCGTCATATGGCGGAAAGAGGCAGACTCTGAAACAATGAGCAGGCAACACAAACCAAATGTGGTAATGGTTACCACGTGTGATAATAACTTTTGTAAATAATGAAGGCACAATGCAATAGGCAACAAGCAAAATGGTAATAAAAACTAATACCTGGCTGGATAATAATCGAAGACAATAGAAGCGAAAAAGATGAATGTGACATTATTATCCCTCCGTTTCATAAATGGCTAAAATAGGTTTTTTGAGGCATACTGGACAAGAAAGACAAGTGCTTCTCATTTCCCTACAAAGTACAGTAGGAAGATGGCATAAACCAGTACAGTAGGAAGATGGCATAAGTCAGAAGACACAAAAATTGCGCTTTTTATTTTATGGCATCATCAAATGATAAGTGACATTATTCTCCCTCCGTTTTATGGATGGCTGAAAGATATTTTTTGAGGCATACTAGACAAGATAGAAAAGTGCTTTTTATTTACCTACGGAGTACCGTAGGAGGACGGCATAAATCAGAAGACACAAAATTTGCGCTTTTGATTTTATGGCATCATCAAATGATAAAATGATGTGACAAATAATAAGACATTATTATCCATTTTGAATGATAAGTGACATTATTATTATTAGGTACAATACCGCTCATAATACGTCAAAAAAGTGGCCGCACTCTAGCAGAGTGTGACACAGTGCGCTGCAGTGCGGCAGAGTGCGCCGCACTCCAATAGAGTCGCCAGAATCCGCGTCGCATCGCCACATCTTGCTTCAGAACAGACGTATCCTGATTTAGGAAACCGTATGACTCAGCTTGGCGAGGAGCATCATATGGTATACAGAAGTGCCACAATCTGTCCCGGTAGGTAGGTATACGGTAGACAGTAGATTTTCGCTCAATCTGCTGATTTTTTTGGTTGGATTGTCCAGAGTGCTGATAACAATATTGCCATTCATTTGCTGCTGATGGCACATCGTAGGTATAATGTAGGAGTATGGTAGAGAGTCACTCTGATGGATTTGTTCTGAAATCAGCTCAAGGTATAATACGCTCACCGAATCTGCAAAATATCAGTGAACGTCGCGGAAATACGGGAATTCCACGAAAGTCCGCGACTTTTCCGGAAGCCCGCGTCATTCCAGGAATTCGCATAGATGTAACACAGCGCTCATCCAACACAAAAAATTTCAGTAAGTACTGTTCGATGGTACTGTGCTTGCAGGTTATCATGCGCTAAGTAGTAGCTGTAGACTTCCTTTCAAAAAAGATAAAAGCGTTAGTGAATTTTAGAAAAATCACGCGTTCCTAAATTCTACTCGCCGTAACTTGCTTCGAAATATCTCTATTCCAAATCAAAAAAACCATTGTGCTCAGCTCATTAAGACAAATCTTTCGTCATACGCACGTCCTTGCTATTCCAATTTCAGTAATCTTCAATTTTTTGTGGATTTTTCTTTGCAGAGGTGTAAAGCAGCGCGCATTGCCCGTTATAGACTAGAGCAAGAACCCTTAGATGGTTCTTCATCTGCGATTTATAGAGCGTTAAATAGTAGCCGTAGCCTTTCCAAAGGAAATAGAGGGGCTGGTCGTGGAAAAATCGTCCCAAATTCTAGTCGCCGTAACCCTAGAATGCGAAGCTATCTTGCTAAGCAGATGTAAATTTCGTAATCAGCAGGTCAGATAACCCCTATGAGCAAGTTCTCACAGAACTTCGAGTTACTTCATTTTTTCTCCCTTCACGCTCTGAAGCTCGCCCGTGGGTTTTGGTCGAAATGTGATGATCTTGTTTTGAAAGAAAACTCCGCTCAAAGAGGTTTTCGAACAAGCTGTTTATGGAATCCTGGTCTCTGTCAATACAGGGTCTTTCTGCACAGATATGGTGAGATATTGTAACGGATTCACGAAAGCTCCTAATTTCGCCTGCACCTATTGCGCACCTTTCAGAAAACTTGCCTGCTTGCTTTCCACCGTGAGTGTTTGCATAACTTACTTATTGTTAGTGGATACTTAGATGGCCTGTCTTCGATTGGCGTGCGGGCCTCAGCACGAGAGCTTTCATCGATCCCTGTCCTTCGCTTCAGACATCCACGATCTTCTTGGTAGATGGGTGGCTGCGTCCACGAGTTCCAGGTGCGAAAATCGTACCCAGCTGATCTCTCAGCTGGTCATCCATTCGACGAACACGTCTGCCCATCTCATTGGAGGTCTTCCTCGGGGATGTTTGGCTTCGCGAGGAATCCACACAGATGTTCTTAGTGTCCATCTGTCGTCTGTTCTTCTCATTATGTGACCGGCCCATCGATGTTTGGCTTTCGCAACGTATTCCGCTGGGTCACGAAGACGTCTCCATAATAGAGGAGCCTTCCAGTTCCATTTCTGCATCTTCGCAAAGGGCGTTCCTCATGGACTGAGTCTTCTTCCGATTTATTCGCAATCCGATCTTCTTCCCTATTTCGTTTAGTTCCTTCAGCATCGCCTCTGCTTCAGTGATACTTCTTGAAAAGAAAGCGATGTTATCCGCAAAGCGAAGGTTGGACAGAAATCTCCTATCAACTCGTGTGCCTCTCTCATGCCAGCCCAGTGATTTCATCACCCAACAATGCCGCGCTGAACAGCTTCGGCGAAGTAGTGTCGCCTTATCGAACCCTCTTTACAACTGCAATGGTCAGTGGGCGATGTAAAAGCTGCATCGTTGTTGTACAGTCCTTGTAGCAGTCAGCTAGTTTCCTCATGTAAGCTAGGTCCACTCCTTGATTCGACTATTGCTGACAGAATGGCGTTCGTTTCGACGCTGTCGAAGGCTTTCTCGTCGACGAAGGTTCGGACGAGAGGCACTAGGTATTCCCGGCAGATTTCTATGACCCTCGAAACCGTCTGGATGTAGTCCATGCAACTGAATCCTTTGCGGAATCCAACTTGTTCTTGGCG